TCTATCATCATCTCCCAGAGCTTACTCAAACTCATGTCCATTGAGTCAGTGATGCCATCCATCCATCTCACCCTCTGTCATCCCCTTCTCCTCCTACCTTCAGTATTCCCCAGCATCAGGGTCTTTTCCAATGAGTCAGTTCTTTACATCAGGTGGCCAAAGTACTGGATCTTCAGCTTTAGCATCAGTCCTTCCAAGGAATATTCAGGACTGATTTGCTTTAGGATGAATTCATTGGATCTCCTTGCAATCCAAGAGACTCTCAAGAGTCTTCTCCAACACCACAGTTCAAAAGCATCAATTCTTTGGCACTCAGCTTTCTTTACAGTCCAACTCTCACATCCATACATGACCACTGGAAAAACCATAGCCTTGACTAGATGGACCTTTGTTGGCAAATAATGCCTCTGCTTTTTAATATGCTGTCTAGGTCGGTCATAACTTTTCTTCCAAGAAGCAAGTGTCTTTTAATTTCATGGCTGCAGTCACCATCTGCAGTGATTTTGGACCCCCCAGAAATAAAGTCTGTCACTGTTTTCATTGTTTCCCCTTCTATTGCCATGAAGTGATGGAACCAGATGCCATGATCTTAGTTTTCTGAATGTTGAGTTTTAAGCCAACTTTTTCAGTCTCCTCTTTCATTTTCCTCAAGAGGCTCTTTAGTTTCTCTTTACTTTCTGCCATAAGGGTTGTGCATATCTGAGGTTATTGATATTTCTCCCAGCAATCTTAATTTCCGCTTGTGCTTCATCCAGCCCAGCGTTTCTCATGATGTACTCTGCATATAAGGTAAACAAGCAGGGTGACAATATATAGCCTTGATGTACTCCTTTCCTGATTTGGAACCAGTCTGTTGTTCCATGTCCAGTTCTAGCTGTTGCTTCCTGACCTGCATACAGATTTCCCCCAACCAGATCTAGTCCCTTGAATCTATTCATCACCTCTATTGTATAAGCATAGGGATTTGATTTAGGTCATACCTGAATGGCCTAGTGGGTTTCCCTACTTTCTCTAATTTAAGCCTGAATTTTGCAGTAAGGAGCCCATGATATGAGGTATAGTCAGTTCATGATACGAAGTACAATCTTGACATATCAAGACCAAGTCAGTTTCAGGTTTTGTTTCCTGATAAGCTTCTCCATCTTTGCCCTGCAAAGAATATAATTAATTTGATTTTGGTATTGAACACCTGGTGATGTCCATGTGGAGAGTCTTCTCTTGGATTATTGGAAAAGGGTGCTTGCTCTGACCTAATGTGCTAAATAGTTTCCATTATTATCCATTCCTTTCTAACATTTGGTGATTCAGGGGAGTTCCCAAATGTCTTTCAAGTGAATGACATTTACAAGGGCCTCCCCATCTTGCTCTGTTCTAAAGTATTTCACTGACACTAAGTTTTATGTATTAATCTTCCCAAACTGAAGATCTCAAGTCTTCAGAAAAATTAATAGCAATTCTTCTTCATAATAAAACACAACACCATTCAAAAATAGCATGAATTACATATATTCTACTCCCCTGTGCTAAGGTTATTTAATTATTGTGCATTACCAGGAACTCTTAAATGTAGTATTGATTTAATTATAATTCACTCATTCAAAAACATTTTCTGAATGCTTGCTTTATCTAAGGTATAGTGATAATAAGAAGAATGTAAAGAACTAATAAAACATGAAGCCTGCCCTAACAGAATTTACAAAGCCAAGTCACCCTTCTCATGAGCTAAGTATTTCTTAATTCTGGTCTATATAGATCACATATAAACATGCAATTTTATAATAAATTTTAAACATATTAATAAGAATCAGTACTGTTTTTCTAGGTATATATAACAATTTTTAAATTTTTTTATTGGAATATAGCTTTTACAAGGTCATACCAGTTTCAAGTGTACAGCAAAGTGAACCAGCTACACATATACTTATATATTCACTACTTTTACAAAAATACTGTTAACAACAAGCAACTATTTTCTGCTACCATTTATCTTTTCTATCCAGGAGCAAACTTGATCTGTACTACTAATTTTCTCATTTAAAAAGTTAACTTGGTAGTCCCCAGATTTTAGAGGAAAATAAAAGATTTCTAACCTGTTTGAAATTGAGCTGATAGGCCAATATAAGTAGAATGAAACCAAATACTAATACAAACATCAAACTGTCTCCAACACACCTCTACAAAATAACCCATCAGTAAAGCCACTAATATGGAAGGAAGTATGTGTGGATATGTAAAGCACTAAAAGTGCATTTTTTTTCAAGATTTGGTAAAGGACCTCTATTCTCTATATATGCCTCCCTGGAAGTTTCAGATGTGAACATCTGTAGACTTTGGGAATCTCAATGTTAAATGGGACCTTAGACTTCAAGTATTGTTTTAACTATAAATTTTCTCTATACCATGTGACATGTTACCACCAGAGACTTTAAAAAAAAAAAAACACGAATAAAGCCAAAGACTCATGGTAAAAGATAAATTTGGGTAAGGAAGTGACTATGAACCTTTGTTAGAACTTCAAACATATCATTTATTAGTGAGATTTACTAGAAAGTCTGGAACTATATATTTGTAAAGTTCACAATTTGGAGAATGATTCACATAGGAGGTATGAGAATTATGATAATTTCTGTTTCTAGATCTTTCAGTAGCTGTAGGTTATTTTATAGTGTGATTTAAGTATAATTTTAGCAAAAGGAAACAAGTAGTAAATGAGAGAATTCATTAGCAGGTAGTCAAGCGTACCTAGTCTATCAATCATGCTGATATTTTTAATTATCAGCAAATTTAATTTTGTCACTAGGGGAGTAAATTCATACTTTAAAGTATCAGTACATCATATTTAGTTTGAAAAACATTTTAGAATGTGTCTTGATTATAAAATACCAAAAGTACTTCCCATATTAGGTTTCCTTGTTGTTGTTTAGTTGCCAAGTCATGTCTGACTCTTTGCAACCCCATGGACTGTAACCTGCCAGGCTCCTCTGTCCATGAGATTTCCCAGGCAAGAATAATGGAATGGGTTGCCATTTCCTTCTCCGTGTGATCTTTCCAACCCAGGGATCGAACCCGCATCTCTTTTATTAGCAAGCAGATTGGATTTCCTAGGCAGGCAGAAATTAATGGTATTCCTAATACAAATCAGGGCATTTTAAAACAACCAAATAGTGTCTCTAAAAATATACCTTAGCTCAGGTAAACAGACTTGTCATGGTAATACCAAAAAAAAAAAAAATCTGGATCTGGCCTAAAATTGTAAAAGAGCACATGAAAGGGATACAGAGTTGTACTGATTGACACAGAAAAGGTAGATCTGGTTATTTGCTCAAAACTGAGTCCATAGTGATTAAATAAATGCAATGGGCTTTCACACAATTCCAGCTTTTAAATGTCAGCCAATTACTATGAAATGATGTTTTTAACTTGGATAATCTACATCGTATTCTATTTCTCTCCTGAATCAAGTGAATTACTCAAATTAGGTTGATCATTTTTATCACTCTAGATTACAATGGAAAGCAAGCATCTTATCCAGCCTACACAGTGTTAGGCTCTAGAAGCTCAGCCTAGTGAAGAAAAGTACATATTGATTTAATATATACACAGACTCTTCAAGGTCAAACGTCAAGTTTAATGAGTGAGTGTTAATACGCTTCTCTATACCAGTGCTTCTGGATCTTAAAATACTCTGCACTTCATGAGAAAGTTATGTGGCATTTGAAACTCCGAAAGTGAAAGAAAGCTCTGATGCCCAAATGGAGCAGTCAAGAAAACTGAGCACTATTCAGAAAACAGAATACTGGAGATTTGAGTGCACCTTCCTGCATGACAATGAGAGCTACAAACGAGAAAAGAGAATGAAAAGATTACACTATTGCATATATCTTCTTTACTGCCCTTTCTCTTGATGAATACAGCGGTTACACATAGGCTGATGAGATTCCTTTACTGTACAAAGAAAAGCTAGTCTGGTTTTATAACACATGTCATAAGTCTTTCCTAAACACAGACTACATTTAAGTTGTTATTCACCTATATGGAGAAAGAACTGATGTTGGGGGCACTGAGTCACAATACTGTACTCTTGGGGTACAAATGAAGCACACTTATTGCTAGTAGTCACTACTTGTTAGATTTCAAATAGGAACTGGGATTTTAAATATTTCAGAAAGAACTTCTCTCAAAGTCTCTATTGTCATTGTATCTCTTTCAATTTTTACCACACCAACAATATTCCCTGATCAAGATTCCAAAAACTCACACAAAAGCATTTCCTCAAATGCCTTAAATCTTCCTCCGCTCTCAATTTCTTAAACGAATTATAGCTCATTGGAACCCTCCCAAGTGGCCTGTTCTCCAAAGCTACATTTAAAACCATTTTCTATGTTGCATGTTTTTTTGTCACCAAGTGATGAAATTTTGGTCAATCTTGTCAACAGGGCATCCGTGTAGGCGCTGTGGTAGTTACCAGCTTTATAAGGATTGTGTGAGAAGGGCAGACACTCTGTGGCTTGCATTCATTGAGAGACACCAGAGTGAATCATGAATAGAGCACTTGATAGGGAATCAAGGGAGTTAAACGAATCAGGGAGAGTATATTTGTCAATGCATGGGTGAGGCATCTAAACAGATTGTTAGCCTTAAAGTATCGCCTCTACAGATCACGCAACCTGAAATTCTTAACCACTAGATTCATTCCTCTCACACACTGCCTGAAATACAAACTATTTAGTTATAAGAATCATATTTGGAACAGAAAGCACATTTCAAAGTAGTTTATAATAACTCATTAGTGCCCAGTGCTGCTGGCCACAATGCATTTAAGTTCTAGTGAAGCAAAAAGATATAAGGAGTCACAGCCTCAAGTGTCCACAGGATCAGGCAGGTGCTAGGCATGAAAAAAGAAAAGAAAAGAAGATGAGTGCCAGTGTCAACTGACCACCAGCCACAATATATGCGAAATAGGGAAGGTGGAAACTGAAGTAAACAAGAGCGCCCTTACCTCATCTAAAAGGGGCAACCACCCACTCCAGCAGACTGTTGCCCAATAGGATATAGATCCATATCTTCCACTTTTTCTAGAGAAACCAAAAATCTCAATTTTTGTGGGAAATTTCCAATATTCAAATGTCATAAACTCATTCTATTTTATAGAATAAAATATATTCTATATATTTTAGAAACCATAATATATTTTAGAAACCATAATATATTATGGGTCAACAATGTTCCCTGTTCAGGGCAAATCAGATATAACCGAGGGACAGATTTAGCCAATCTGTTGACAATTTCCTATCTAGAACATTCAGAAGGGGGGTTCAGATGGAATAAGTGTGGGTTCTAGGCTATTAATTAAGAGACCATATAAGGGCTCTAGAGAGCATCCTTTTCTAATGGAAAAGATCCTCAAGAAGAGTCTATATAAAAACCTAATTGTAGTATGCTATGTGTTATGGGCAAAGACATACCCTTTTTAGAAAGCAAATATATTTGGATTTTATTTTTAAAGTTTCTAAATTCTTTTAAATATTATTTAGTTTTACCCTGTCCTGTGAAAGAAAGGATTTAGGATAACATGACCAAAGTTCCAATTAGATAAAATTTAAAATAAATTATGACTGAAAGACCTAGAAGAAATGATGCTAATAAAAATGAGATAAAGTACACCAAATGCATGCTGAATACAGTCAAAAGAATAAAAGTCTCATTAGCCATTAATTTATAAAACTGATTACTATGTGCATGAGGAGGGGAAGTGGTATTAATTATTTTGCAAAGTTCAATTTGCTTTTGTTAAATGCAGTTTCATCTTCAATGTGAATGAATATATCTTGCTCATAGTTCATAAAGTAATAAACGTATATCAGAATAAAGGAGTACTTTTATGTAATTTGACTGTTTAGATTCTATGTCTTCACAGTAAAAAGTGTTATTTTTAAAGGGTGTATTTCTAAGCCTAAATAGAGGACAGAACAGATCCTTTCTTACTTAGACTTTTTATACTCTTTCAGCTGAAAGGGAAAGATTTTTCAATAATAAGAAAAGGCACTGTGAGTTACAGACGCATTGGTCTGATGAGGCTATACACAGGATATATTACCAGCAATATTCCAACCTAATGTGTCAGAATTGTACAGCTCTTTTTAAAAAGTTACATTAATAAAAAGTAAGCACTTTACCAAGGTAAATCGATTGTTTTTGTTGTTATTCTTAAGGAGAGAAAAAAAATAGGATGATGCAGTTATCAGCAGTGGTAGGCATTAGTGTATTCCAGTCTAATTTCAATGCCAAATCCAGACTATTAAATGTGATTTGGAAAGGCTCAGCTCTTAAGAGTATCAGAGGATGTGCAGTCCATGTGTAAGGAAGAAGCACTCCTGTAAATCAGCAGATGAGCATCATGCATTCTGATGAACAAAGCATAGAGGTTGGAATTAACCAGAAAACTCTCCTTTATACAGCTTCCCTTCATCATGGGTAAACTATCACCAGGGAGATAGGGACCGGGTCTCTGCATTTAATTTTTTTAAACAAATATTTATTGAATATCTACCACTTGATGGGTGACAGTTCTAGAGAAAAAATGATCCCAATGAAACTCCAGTCAATTCATGCTAACTCAATAGGCTCTATTCTATGTTGAGAGTTGATGCAATTACAATAACAACTTTAGCTAATCAAAATCATTAGTTAATTGTATTTTTATAACAGCAAAATACTGTCATCAAAAAATCATTAACAATAGCAAAATACTTCCAGACAATCTGAACACCTTCCTTAACCCATTGTACTTCTCAGTCTAACACCTTACACAATGAAAAATCCCATCTGAGTAATGACTCCTGACTACTGCAAGATGTTCACCTATAAAAAGCAAAGGAAACTTTCATAGGATGATCTACTTGTTGACAAAGAAGAGCAATATGTAAACTTCAAAAAGATCTTCAATTGCAAGGAAGGAAACCAAAAATCACGTGCTTTACAATCTTCAATTAATCCGATAATTTAACTCATTAGAATGCTTATTTTTCCTCTAGTATTCTAAACTGTTAAGTGTCTTAGACTGTATTATAAATATGATCTTTCAAGAATAATAAACACAGTCCTGAGACTAAGTCCTGCCACCAGTCCTACATACATATATATAATTTTTTTCCTTGAAGAATGCTTCTCTATTAACAGGTATTACATAAAATGAAAAGGGAAGGGGACCCACAGTCAAACATAAGAAATATTGGTTAAACCAATTCTAGAAGTCAAAGTTTGTCTAGGTAGCTATTAGCCATTCTACTGTTTTGAAGATCTTCCTTGAAGATCCTAAAAGGTAACCACTAGACCACCTGCTCTTAGGAAATGGATTCCACATGACTTTAAGGTATAAGTAGTTTAACTGCATGTTGACAGATGGGGTAAAAGTGTGAAAAATTTTTATTAACACTCAGTTTTAAAGCTTTATTCCTGTGGTACACCAAGAGAAGGGGATTCCAGAAGCTATTTTTCAGGGTTTGGTCCTTGACTTAGAAACTGGTACATTTTTGTTAAGTTTTTTTAAGCTTTGGAACATTTTTGTTAAATTCATTTAAGTGCATTATGTATGTAAGTGAACATGGGATATTCTATATAAACACTCTTTATCATCAATCATCAAAAAAGCCATAGGATGGAAATAATGCAACAATCCATTTCTAGGTTATATTTCTCACATAGAGAATAATTAATTTTCAGTCATTTGTCATGGGTACACAACCTATAATTAGAACTGCTTCATGGTGAATTATCGCAAAAGAAAAATTTGTAGTATCCAGAAAAATAAGCCATTCAGTGTTCCAGGTTTTATGGTAAAGGCTTCCAAAATAGTAGAATGTATTTTGCACATTACCAGTATAAAAAGCTACCAGAAATTCACCATTCCCAAATCAACTTATGCCTAACACTTTCAAAACTTACTGGGACTAATTGTGAATCATGTTAAATATAAAGTGTTGTTTTCTTCACATAATTTCACAAAGTCAGATAAACTTATTTGCCAAAGGGCTTATAAAATACTGTTACTCTGACACTTACCAGCATGCAAATCAAAGAATCACCAATAATGTTGGCATTAGTGGTTAAAAGGGCAGTGAAATTTTTATATCAACAAGGTCTGAACAGGCCTCTCAGACAGGAGGCTTGGGCAAAATCATTTATCAAGTTAAGTCAGGTGAATCTGTAATCAATGAGCAGAATTCTGCTGGAACTGCAGTGCCTCAGGGAAGCCAGTTGAGTTATGCGCTACAGAAGAAAACATTGATTATTGCTTTTACTTGTTTATTTCTCCATATAGACTAGAAATTAATATTACTAATTTTGCAACTATTTAATTCAGTTTTCACTAAGTACTATGTAAAACATAAATAAATTATAATAACTAGAATTGAATGTCCTATGTTATTAATAAAGCTTTGGAACTTAGCATTTTTCCAACAACAATGAATGAAACTAAAGTATTGATTTCAGGGACCTGTATGTGACTGTCATTGTCTAAAACAGACTTATTATAATATAGTGAGAGATGAGTTCTAGAAAAATATTTTGTTCCCTCCTTTTTAATGAATCATTAGCAATTGATATACTTTCCAAATATCAATTTTTAGTGCTCCCGAGGCCAGTTTATCATGAAATAAACTTATACCATTCCTCAAACTTACATCTACAAATGTTCAAATTCGACTCTAAAACATTTCTCCACACTGTGACAGTGTCTCTGCCTATAAAAGTTTATAAGGAAAGAGTAACCAAATAGAACCAAAACTAGAGTGGAACTGAATCATAAAAACATGTAACTTATACAACTTCAATTGTATAAGTTGAAAAGAAACAGTGCCAAAGATTCTGTCAGCCAATTTGTATGCCCTGGATAGAACATCAAATAGGAAATGTAATCTACTCTGCCCTCAAGAGCACAAAGGTCCAAGCATTGATGCAACTCAGAATATGAGCAACTAGCCTTGTTTAGCGTGCTTACAGGATTTAAAGATGCACATTTTCACATAGTACAACTCTTGAAAGAAAGCCAACTACTTCTGATACTCAAGGAAAGAAATGCTGGAAGGAAAACTGGCTATGTTGAACTTACTGAGACACAGAATATTGATTTCCAATTTACTCCTAAAAGTAATTTTAACTATATGTGTTTTCTTTTCTTTCTGCTAACTTTTGGAATCCAACCTATGGTCTTTTCTATAGATAAATAATATCATGTAATTCCTTTCACTGCTAACAAAAACAAGTGCTTTTCATAGTGAATGATATTACAAAGAAGATACTAATTTCTATCCCTGACACAGTTAACAGAATTAGATGAAACTCTCTCTGTTTGCAGATGGCATGATCCTCTACATAGAAAACCCTAAAGACTCTACCAGAAAATTACTAGAGCTAATCAACGAATACAGTAAAGTCGCAGGATATAAAATTAACACACAGAAATCTCTTGCATTCCTATACACTAACAATGAGAAAACAGAAAGAGAAATTAAGGAAACAATACCATTCACCATTGCAACAAAAAGAATAAAATACTTAGGAGTATATCTACCTAAAGAAACAAAAGACCTATACATAGAAAACTATAAAACACTGATGAAAGAAATCAAAGAGGACACAAACAGATGGAGAAATATACCATGTTCATGGATTGGACGAATCAGTATTGTCAAAATGGCTATACTACCCAAAGCAATCTATAGATTCAATGCAATCCCTATCAAACTACCAACGGTATTTTTCACAGAACTAGAACAAATAATTTCACAATTTGTATGGAAATACAAAAAACCTCAAGTAGCCAAAGTAACCTTGAGAAAGAAGAATGGAACTGGAGGAATCAACCTGCCTGACTTCAGACTATACTACAAAGCCACAGTCATCAAGACAGTATGGTACTGGCACAAAGACAGAAATATAGATCAATGGAACAGAATAGAAAGCCCAAAGGTAAATCCACAAACCTATGGTCACCTTATCTTCGACAAAGGAGGCAAGGATATACAATGGAAAAAAGACAACCTCTTTAACAAGTGGTGCTGGGAAAACTGGT